TTAAAGGGTTACTCCAACTTCCACGAACACTTCTGCTTTTTGAAGAGGTCATGGAGGAAGGAATCCGGTTGTGCAGTGTTTTTGCTTGAAAACCTGTATAGAGTTATTTGGACTTATGTGCCGGGGGCACACGTGACATTGGCAGCCTGGAACTCAGTTTTGGGCTGCCAAATGTCATTCCATAGGACTTGAAGTTTTGAGCTATAAACCTATCTGTATAAAACAAAACAACAACCATTACCTTTACACGATCCTAAATCCATATACCCAGGTAATAGAATTTGCCAAACTGCTTAATTCTCTAGCAGTGGATATTGTTAGATATTGCTAAGGATTTTTCTTTTTGCTACTACATGGGCTATCTTTTGGAAAGAAAGGGAGTTGATTCATTTGAAAGTTCATTTGGGTATTTTCTTCTTTTGGGATGTAGACTAACCACCCTAAGACCAACAGAGCAGCATAGTGTGTCAAATAATTCCTGGAACACGCTTCAGTTCTTGGTTTCCAACTCATCTAGAAAACCAGTCATATCTGTTGCCTTTTGCAACATTTTTAAAGAACAATGCTGTGTGTAACTCCACTAAACTTGAGTGATTCTACATGTTTAATGGGTTTCACTCTTTATGGTTGATATCCTCATTTTACAGCCATACAGCCAATACATTCCAAACCAAGGATCTAATGCTAAGCTCCAAAAGAAATCAGCTAATTGTTGTCATCAAGCAGCTCATGTCTATTTTGTTGAGTAAAAGGTTTGGATTTCCACATCTGTTTCTGGGTGCTATTGCATAGCTTGTTTATCAAAGCCAATGTGCCATGTTGTTGTATTACTTCTACCATTTCCTACACAAGGTTCTGTTTAAATGGAAGATCCAGATTTGTTTTTGTAGTGCAGTCTGTAGTGGATTAATTATCCCGCTCCCAGAGGTTGGCAGTAGTTTCTGATACACAGAGTTGGATTTATTTCTGAACAAAAATCTTTTTTTCCTATGTCTGATGTCTAAGCGTTTCCCTTCGTTATACAGTCCCATAATAGGTTTTCACCTCAAAACCTTTTCTAATGCCCTCCTCGACCAGCTGGACCTGGGGTGCAGGGGAGTTTGAGACAGGCTGTGGCTGTGTTCATGCTGAGAATGAAGCTCCTATAAACCACTGCATTTTATTAACTCACCACCTCCTGTATGCGATGATCGAAGAGTGTAAGGCTGGTGCGTTCTCCCTTCTAGTTTAGAAGGAGATCCTGGGGAAATCCATGCAGGTTTTTGTTTATTTGTTTGTTTTGCTGTTTTGCTCAGTTGAATTCTCTAAATGAGCCCTTGGCAGCTGATATGTTATTTTTACTTGTAAAAAATAGCCACCAAACCACAAGTTTTTCTGGCTTACGTTTCCTTTTAAACACCAGCATAATTTCTATTGATACAGAGGCCTGAGAAATAAATTAATCACAGGCCTACTTGATTTTAATCTGGCTCTGTGTCTGGCCCAGCCCTTACTTAGCTCTGGCACGGAGGATGACATCAGAGGTATAACCCACTTATGGGAAGCTATGCATTGTATATTAAGGGGTAAGATTGGTACAGGATACCAGGCAGCGATGCCTAGCTGTGCCTCTGCATGTGCCCCCGTAGATCACACTGCAGCAAAATGATCCAGAGCTCTCACTCTAAGCATTAGGTTTAGGTTAACTGGGGACAATTCTGCAACAACAACAAAAAAAAAACAGTCTGCCTCGGAGAATGAAATAGCTCACAGAAATCCACAATGCTGACCGATGGAAACAAGACAGGGATTTCTACATTGTTTTTTAGGGTCCCAAAAGCTGTCATTGTTATCTTTGTTTTTAACCTTCTACGTTGATATATTATATAATCCTGCTCTCCTTTGGCATTAAAGGGACACGCAAAGCACCCACACATTATAGGCGACATGTGAGGGGTAATGTTGACTTAATTTTTTAAGGGGGCGGGGGGGCGTCAAAAGGCGTCTTTGCCTGTGTAGCCAAAAATTCTTGCACCGGCCCTGAAAGGAGCGGGTGTAGGCATCCTTCACTCTCTTTAATGTACCTTTCAACCAATTTTCCCTGCTGCTGCCCTATCTTTTCCTTCCTTTGAAGTTCACACTGTTCACCTTCAAGAATTGCCTTCATCTACCGCCCCCCAAAACTTAGCAAGATTTCGTCAATCAGAGAAGAGATTTCTCATCTTTCTCCTTCCCCTACCAATATGTCCCTCAACCTTACTCCCTCTGCTGCTCTGTGCTCATTTGAACCTGTCACAGCAGAAGAGGTCTCCACTCTGCTCCAGTCTTTCCGTCCCACCACCTGTTCTCTCAATCCTATTTCTTAGTATCTCATTTTCACTGTCTCCTTCTCTTGCTCTGTCCCTCACTAAAATATTCAAACGCTTCCTCTCTTCTGGCATATTTACTTCACCCTTTAAATATGCAACTGTAACCCTGATTCTGAAAGCCCAATCTTGACCCCAACTCCCCATCCAGCTACAGCCCTATTTCGCTATTACCATTTGCCTTGAAGATCCTTGAGAGAGTTGTGTACATGAATTCCTCAAATTCACCTCTCTGCTTGACCAGCTTTAGTCTACATTCTGTGCTCACCACTCTGTTGAAACAGCTCTGACCAAAGTATCCAATGATTTAATCTTATGGTCACTAATATAACTTAAGTCTCCTAGACCTCTCTGCTGCTTTTGACACTGTTGATCATCCACTGCTTCTTCTCAACATTCGTAATCTCTGTCTACAAAAAACTGCTCTCTCCTGATACTCCTCCTACCTCTCCCAGTGCTCTTTCAGTGTTTCTTTCTCTGGCTTTGCCTCTTCTTCCCAATCCCTCTCTCTTGATGTTCCCCAAGACTCTTTCCTTGGTCCCCTGCTGTTCTCGATCTCCTCCATTGCCTCCATTGTTAAACTCATCAGCTCTTTTGGCTTTCAATATCATTTGTATGTAGATGATAAATCTACCTGTCCTCTCCAAATCTCTTGCCATCCTTCTTGACCTGTGTCTCTTACTGCCTCTCTGTTATTTCTAACTGAATGGCTGCTCATTTCCTTAAACTTAACCTGTCCAAAAAAGAACTTCAGGTTTTTCCTCCCTCAAAAATTGCTACTCTGTTTCCCTCCAAGTCAATGGGGCTACCATCAGATCCACCAGGCAGACTCACTATCTGTCAGGATTACTGTTTGATCCAGCACGTAGAACTGTACAGCACGGATGACAAATAAGTAACGTATTACCGGTCCTTAGAATGGCCGGATTTAACGTACAAAGAATAGTCAAAAATACTAGCCGAGGTCAGGGAACACAGAAAGGGACACAGCGATGAGGAAAGCCAGGAGTCAGGATACCAGAATATAGAGAAGTCAATAAACAAAGCCAAAGTCAAAAACCAGGTAGAAAACTATAAACAGGAACGCGCTCTCAGACAACCACAAGGGAAACCACGACAGGGCACTGAGCAGGCTGAGAACTGGGCCTAAATACCCCTCCTTTAGTTCTGATAGGCTGTAACCGGCCTTTGACCCCAAAGTCAGTTACCAGGTTTCATTTGCATAATTGCTGCTCAGCATTAACCCTTCTGTGGATTAGGTTGCTGCTCGGCACAACTTTTCCTGTGTGGACAGTAAATGTCATTAATCACTTTTCTCTAAGCGGATGAATACATGACACCAGGTTTCATTTGCACAATTACTGCTCAGCATTAACCCTTCTGTGGATTAGGTTGCTGCTCGGCACAACTTTTCCTGTGTGGACAGTAAATGTCATTAACCACATTTCTATAAGCGGATGAATATGTGACATTACCCCCCACCTGAAGAACGCCCACCGGGCGGACAGGACCAGGCTTGAGAGGAAATTTAGCGTGAAAAGCGCGGATCTTACGGCCCGCATGCAGGTCAGGAGCCGAAACCCAAGAACGATCAGCAGGACCGTAACCTTTCCAAACAACCAAGTACTGTAAAGTGCCCCGAGAAAACCTAGAATCCACGATAGAAGATACCTCATACTCTTCCTGACCACCCACCACCACCGGAGGGGGAGGAACACAAGGAACAGTATATCTATTGCAGACAAGAGGTTTGAGTAAGGACACATGAAAAGTGTTGGGAATCCCTAAAGATGCAGGAAGAGCCAGAGAGTAAGACACTGGATTGATCCTACGAAGCACTCTATAGGGACCAAGGAATCTGGGGGCAAACTTCATGCTAAGGACCTTAAGCTTGATGTTGCGAGATGACAACCAAACCCGGTCCCCCACTTGGTACACCGGGTTGGCACTCCTACGCTTATCAGCAAAATGTTTGAAGCGTTCAGCAGCAGCCCCTAGAGCAGTTTGAACCTTAACCCAGGTATCCCGAATGGAGGCCAGACGCTCATCCAGAGCAGGAATGGCAGTATCAGAAAATACCGCAGGGAGAACCGTAGGATGCCTACCATTATTGACAAAAAATGGACTGTGCCCAGAGGAGTCATGAACAGCATTGTTTCTAGCGAACTCGGCCCACGGGAGTAGTTCGGACCAATTGTCTTGTGTGCTATTAATAAAACAACGCAAATAAACTTCTAATGACTGGTTAGCCCTCTCAGCTGTACCATTGGTCTGTGGATGGTAGGAGGAGGAGAAGGAGAGATCAATCCCCAATTGTTTACTGAACGCCCTCCAGAACCTGGACACAAACTGAGAGCCCCTATCAGACACAATATTGTGGGGGATGCCATGCAAACGGACAATTTCACGTATGAAAATTAGGACCAAATCTTGCGAAGATGGCAACTTCTTGAGAGGAATGAAGTGAGCCATCTTAGAAAATCGGTCTACAACCATGAGAATAGTAGTGAACCCAGCAGAGCTAGGAAGCTCAACAATAAAGTCCATGGATAGGTGGGACCATGGAATCTCAGGAACAGGAAGAGGCTGCAACAGGCCACAAGGAAGTGCATGAGTCACCTTAGAAACTGCACACACAGAACATGCCTGCACATACTCCTTTACATCTTTCCTGAGTGAATCCCACCAAAATGATCTAGTGATCGCGGCAGTGGACTTATTGATGCCCGGGTGTCCAGCAGTTATATTGTCATGGAACACTTTCATGATATTAACCCTTTCACATAGGGGAACGAACAGTTTATCACACGGTTTACCACTGGGCGCCTGAGGCTGGGCCTCCAGTATGGTGCCAAGCATTGGAGAAGACAGTGAGAGGACAGTAGTAGCAATAATACACTCTGCTGGAATAATAGGAGATGTCATCTGTTCCGGAGCTGACTCATTATCAAATTGCCTGGACAAGGCATCAGCCTTGGTATTTTTAGAACCAGGTCTATAAGTAATGAGAAAGTTAAAACGTGAAAGGAACAGTGACCATCTAGCCTGTCTGGAAGACAAACGTTTGGCATCCCCTATATATGCCAGATTTTTGTGGTCGGTTATGATCAACAGGGGGTCCTTGGAACCCTCCAAAAGATGTCGCCACTCCTTGAGGGCAAGAATAATGGCCAACAGTTCTCTATTGCCAATATCATAGTTGCGCTCAGCAGGAGACATCTTTCTGGAGAAGTAGCCACAAGGATGCAATGGTGTTCCCTGGCTTTCTCTCTGAGAGAGAACAGCCCCTACCCCTGTCTCGGATGCATCAACCTCCAATATAAAAGGTTTACTGGTGTCAGGATGTTTTAGTATGTCCGCAGAGGCAAATCTTTGTTTAAGAGTCTCAAAAGCATTCACAGCCTCTTTGGACCGTACCGTGCTACTAACCCCTTTGCGAGTCATATTTGTGATTGGGGCTATTACAGAAGAAAATCCCTTGATGAATCTTCTGTAATAGTTGGCAACCGTGCTACTAACCCCTTTGCGAGTCATATTTGTGATTGGGGCTATTACAGAAGAAAATCCCTTGATGAATCTTCTGTAATAGTTGGCAAAACCAATAAACCTTTGAATGGCTTTTAAACCAGGGGGTAATGGCCAGTGTAGTACAGCCTCTAGTTTTTTAGGATCCATTTGAAATCCCGATGCAGAGATGTTGTAACCCAAAAAGTGGACTTCAGGCTGGTCAAATATGCACTTTTCTAATTTACAATAAAGTTTATTTTTCAACAACGTCTGCAGAACCTGTTTCACATGGGAGTGGTGAATTTGAAGATCAGGGGAATACACCAAAATATCGTCCAAATAAACCAAGACAAATGAGTAAATGAATTCCCTGAGTACATCATTTATAAAGTCTTGGAATACGGCCGGGGCGTTGCATAACCCAAATGGCATTACCAGATATTCATAGTGTCCACTATGGGTATTAAATGCCGTCTTCCACTCATGATTCTCTTTAATTCTAACCAAATTGTAAGCGCTCCTAAGGTCAAGCTTAGTAAATACTTTAGCTCCCTGAAGTCTATCGAACAATTCGGAAATGAGTGGAATAGGGTATGCATTTTTTACAGTGATTTTATTAAGTGCCCTGTAGTCTATGCAAGGGCGTAACTCACCACCCTTTTTCTCAACAAAAAAGAATCCTGCACCAGCTGGTGAGGATGACTTTCTTATGTGCCCTTTGCTCAAGGATTCTTTGATGTATTCCTCCATTATTTTACTCTCCTGGGGAGATAAGGCATAAACTGCCCCCTTAGGTGGCATAGCGCCTGGAAACAGGTTAATGGCACAGTCATATGCTCTGTGGGGAGGCAATACATCGGATTGAGCCTTGTTAAACACCTCCTGAAGTTCTCGGTATTGTATGGGAACTCCAGGAGTTTGGGGAGTGGTAGTGGGAAGGTCAATAGTATCCAATCTCTTTAGTACTGGTTTTATACATCTCCCCATACACTCTTTACCCCATTCTAATATCTCCCCATTAGCCCAGTCAATATAGGGATTGTGCTTACTCAGCCACGGAAACCATAATATAATAAGACATGATGGAGAAGTAATAACCTGAAACGTCATCTCCTCCCTATGGGAGGCCCCAATGGAGATCGTAATAGGGACAGTTTCGTGGGTTATAAGCGGTTGTGTGAGTGGTCTACCATCAATAGCCTCTACAGCTAGCGGCGTAGGTCTTTCCCTGACCGGTATCTCATTACCCCTAATAAACTGGACATCAATAACATTTCCAGCAGCACCTGAGTCCATTAGGGCACTGCAAGAAAACTTCTTGTTATCAATGGAAATACATACCTCAAGGAGGAATCTACTTTTGCTTTTGTTAGAGGACAACTCCATCACACCTAAGATCTGTCCCCTTAAGGTTCTTGGGTGCGGAAGTTTTCCGGACGCACTGGACAATTAGTTATCATATGTCCCTTTCTACCACAATATAGGCATAACCCCTCCCTTCTCCTATACTGTTTTTCGGCCTCTGACAGTCTAGTGACCCCCAACTGCATAGGTTCGGGTTCGGACTGTACAGGGAGGTTAGACAAAACAGGTTTAGAGAATTGAGGTGCTAGGGACATAGCCGTACGTCTGGTCTTGCTTCTGGTGACTTCTCTGAGTCTTAACCTATTATCAATATGCATGACAAACGTAATAAATTCGTTAAGACTCTTAGGTAATTCTTTAGCGGCTATCTCATCTAGTATAGTCTCTGAGAGACCCTTTTTGAATGCTGAGATTAACCCATTGTTAGTCCAGTCTACCTCGGAAGCTAAGGTATGGAATTCAATAGCATAATCCGAGATAGACCGGTTACCTTGTCTGATGTGCATTAGGGCAGTGGAGGCGTCATCTTCTCTACCCAATGGCTCAAACGTGAGCTTGAATTCGGCAAGGAATTCCTGGTAATTATGAGCTATGCTCCGATTACTCTCCCACAACGGATTAGCCCAGGCAAGGGCATTGCCCTTTAATTGATTCATTAGATAACCAATTCTTACTCTGTCCGTGGGGAATGACCCTGGTGAGGCCTCAAAATGGTACTCCACCTGATTAAGAAAACCCCTGCATTCCTGGATATTGCCATCAAACTGTAGGGATGGTGATAAGGAGATGCAAGGAGTCCTATTAACAGTGGGTGGAGGTACACAGGGTAGAGGTGCTATAGGAGGAGACGCTGCAGGCTGCAGATGCTCCGTTCTAGCGAGAAGCGTACTTAAAGCCTGAGTGAATTGATCCATGCGGTGATCATTCTCCTCTAATTTCCTCTCGCAAGCAGCTATGTGCTGACACAGTTCTACAGGATCTATGGCCATGTCGTAATGTCAGGATTACTGTTTGATCCAGCACGTAGAACTGTACAGCACGGATGACAAATAAGTAACGTATTACCGGTCCTTAGAATGGCCGGATTTAACGTACAAAGAATAGTCAAAAATACTAGCCGAGGTCAGGGAACACAGAAAGGGACACAGCGATGAGGAAAGCCAGGAGTCAGGATACCAGAATATAGAGAAGTCAATAAACAAAGCCAAAGTCAAAAACCAGGTAGAAAACTATAAACAGGAACGCGCTCTCAGACAACCACAAGGGAAACCACGACAGGGCACTGAGCAGGCTGAGAACTGGGCCTAAATACCCCTCCTTTAGTTCTGATAGGCTGTAACCGGCCTTTGACCCCAAAGTCAGTTACCAGGTTTCATTTGCATAATTGCTGCTCAGCATTAACCCTTCTGTGGATTAGGTTGCTGCTCGGCACAACTTTTCCTGTGTGGACAGTAAATGTCATTAATCACTTTTCTCTAAGCGGATGAATACATGACACCAGGTTTCATTTGCACAATTACTGCTCAGCATTAACCCTTCTGTGGATTAGGTTGCTGCTCGGCACAACTTTTCCTGTGTGGACAGTAAATGTCATTAACCACATTTCTATAAGCGGATGAATATGTGACACTATCTAGGTGTTCTCTGTTTTCTTCAATTCCAGCCTCTCCTTCACCAGTCATGTCCAGTAGATTGCCAAGTTCTGCCGCTACTATCGCAAAAACATAGCACTCATTCACCCCTATTTAATGCCACATACAACTTAGTTGCTGGTCCTTGCTGCTATCCTCTTTTGTCTTGACTACTGTAATCCACTTCTCAGTGGTCTTACGTGTTCCCAACTTGCCAAACTTCATTACAGTTTATAATGAATATGGTGGTGAGGCTCATCTCACTGTCCGTCTGCACTTCCCATGCCTCCACCCTTTGTCAGTCACTACAATGGCTTCCTGTAAGATATAGAGCTAAATTTAAAATTCTGGTACTCGCTTACAAATTTCTACATAACGCCCCCTTGCCTGAACATTCGCCACGAGCTCCTGGAGGAGTGTGGATGCTAGCCTCCTGCCCACTGACTATGGGCCATAGAAAAGGCTGGTAAAAAGACTTGGTTCATGGGATTTATTTGTACTGTTCGGGAACCGAACAAACTCATGAACAGCGGACCACCTCTGAGCTGGTTAACCCCTATTTTGCCTTCCCAGGAACCATTCTCTTCCTTGGTTCGGGAGTCCGTTTTCAACTTAATTTTTGTTACATAAGTTGACCGACCGCTAGGCCTGATTTCATGGAACTGTTATGGGCATAGACCATGCAAATCTCGATCCCCTGAAATGATCTGGGTGATTTTTGGATATGTTGGTCACCCAAATCGGAGCTATCAGGGGATGTAACTTTTGTGTTTTTTTTATGTGTTTTGAAGGTACTTTTGGAGTGTTTGTAAATTGTATGTTTTTCTGTGCCTGGAGATAATTAAGTTTGTACAGTACCTGACTCAATTATCTTCCAGGCACAGTGGAGGGATTGCCCTGTTTTGTGTGGGAGTGTCATGGGCGTGTTTTCTGTGTCCTTGTACTGCATAAATGCAGGCCTGGATTAAACAGATCATCTTACCCCTTCATGAAGTCTAGGTTCATGTTTGGGGGATTGGGAGCTATATTAACACTTATAATCACTACGGCGATTGGGAATTGGGAGAATATTCACGGATGTACTAAGCTGGAGTACTGGGATCTGTTACACTACCTATCCTCCATAATACAATAAATATGTCCCATTTAGGACCCTATGCTCTGCCGGAGACCTATGTCTATTCTTTTTGTTCCTACTCTGCACCTCTGATGCTGGCCTTCAAGACTTCTCTAGGGCTGCGCCTTTCCTGTAAAAGTCCTTTCCCTATTAGACGTTCACCCAGTCTCCATTCCTTTAAAAAAATTATTGAAAACTCATTTTTTCAGTAAAGAATATCAAGTATTCATTTTCAATCAGATGTGAACTTGCTGTAGAAATGTTATCTCGCGCTCTTTAAATTTAAGTTTAATTACACACAGAAGGCTCTGCAGGCTCTAGTAGACTATTAACAGAGTAAGAGATAAGCAATTCTAAATAAACAGAATGCGCAATAAAGGAAGTCTAAACATTAGATGACTCTTTACAGGAAGTGTTTAGGAAGGGTGTGTAAGTCACATGCAGGGAGGTGTGGC